GAACACAACACCAAGATGTCATCTAAACAATTTATGCATCACTGTTGTAATTTTAATAAATGTGTGTCAGCTTATTGGCAAGTGGAAACATTTGTAAATTTGTCTTCAAGTCTCAGGCAATCAAGATAACAACAACAACAACAGATCTCATAAACGTGCCAGTCTTCATACCACTGGTGAGGAAGTCCAAAAGCAAATAAAAAGAGCACATGTACTTTTTCTTGTCCTCCTTTCACTGGTCTGTGCAGACAAGCAGGTATGTGAGTAGTTCCCAACATGCTCCACTGATTTGTTTAGCTTGATCAAAACCACACCATCACTCCTGCCATTGTGTTCTACCAAGAGGCTCACGTTTGTAAAAGACAGTACATCTTAACAGTCATTTAAAGGTATTCATAGCTAGTTAACCTAAAATACAAAAGTTATAAAGACAATAAAAAAGATTACAAGGACATTTTCTGCAAGTGATTCAACCTTAAAAAGCAAACCATGCTACCACATGAGTATCAAATAAATGAAACAAATGTTTAATGTAATTCAATCCAATTTAAAACATCTACACTATCACATTTTTTTTTTACCAAACAGGAAGTTTAAGAAAGGTTCAAGGCTCTGGGGTACATCATTATACGGCTTTTCCATCTGCAGTGTTCCCCTTTTTATGAGAAAGAGAAGTTAATTTTCTCTTAATAAGTAGTTCACTTCCAGTGTTCCTTCCTTCCTCTCTTCAATCACTTTGTTTTGTTCCTGCAGCTCCTGCAAAGAAAATCTCTTCACTATGTGGGGGTGTCCTCCATGTGAGGCAACCAGTTTACTGATCCCGGACAGCAAATCTTTCACCTGAGGATAGCTCAAAGCATTCTGGGATTTTATAATGTTTAGCTCATAATAACGGCTCCCGCACTTCCGGACAAGATCCTGCAGGGCTGAATGAGCACCAGCAACATAGTTGTTGACTTTCTGAGGCCTGCACTTGTTGTTGTCGAACTGAACGAACAACACGATGGCATGCTCTGCGAATTCTCGTCCAAAGATCTTCTGGAGGTGTCCGAACATCTCGCACTCTCCCTGGGTGAAGCGTCCCACCTGAAGCGTCCCACCTGGAGCACCAGCAGGAAAACATAGTACGGCCAGAGCCAGGCAGTCCTTCACCAGCTCTCCATTCTCCACCCCGTCTTTGTCCCACAGCTCAGGGGTGTCGACGAGGATGAGCTTCCTTACATTACATTCAGAGCAGAAGACTTACCGCTGCCACTGAGACCCAGCAAGATCACAGAGATCTTATTCTTTTCATCATCTGAAAGCCAAAAATGAAAAATGACTGTTAGAAAACACCTACAGAAAATTAGACCATACAACTCTTATCTATAACTTGTGGAGGGCCATTTCCCCTGTTGGGGTCTATATCATGTTCTTCTGGTTTTACATGTGTCAAACTGAATTTTTAACACTAACACTTTAACACTAAAGATTATAACAATATCCATATAAAAATGTAACTCTATCACCCCCTAGGAGCAATTAACATCACTTTTACCTCTTCCAGTAGATGCTGGACGATGTATTCACCACTCTTTGGTGTACAGGGAAGTTATAGGTCTGTATTTTTATTCATCTTGACAACTTTAGTTTTAAAACACCAGAACAAATGGAAATAGCTCTTACCATCAGGGGCACTGATCTGAAGTTG